GCCGAACTCAAACACTGTACAACTGGAGGCAACACGTCCAGTCCTACAGACTCCGCAGAATTGCGAACCCTCATAGCAAGAGGTGGAACAACTGAAGGCTTGTTACTGAAGGTTCGCTCGTAGCGTATTCGTTCCATACAGTGTAAGGTTGGATGGTTAGGAACCGATCTAATTCGCATAAAATATGTGAAGCCCAGTTCAGATCTTCTTTTCTCTAGAGAGAGCTCGTTTGCTTCTGCGTATAGACTAAGAACAGGAGATGTGCGAAAAGCACCGGTAGCAAGCCGCAACCCCTGATGATGAACAGGGTCCAGCATTTTGAGAACCGATGTCCGGGCAGAACCATACACAATACAACCGTAATCAAGACGGGATCGAACGACCGACCGATAGATACGCAAGAGACAAAGACGGTCAGCACCCCAGGACACATGCGACAGGACCTTAAGTATATTAAGCGATTTAAAACATTTCATCTTCAGGCTCTTGACATGCGGAACAAAAGTCAATTTGGAATCAAATATAAGACCTAAAAACTTGTGTTCAGTTTTCACTGGGATAGGAACACCATACATAGTCAAAGAAGGTTCGTGCAAAACTCCGCGGCGACGTGAAAAACTCACACAGACGGTCTTCTCAGGAGAAAATTTAAAACCGTTGACATCAGCCCATTTGACCAAGTTGTTGATTGTGAGCTGGAGCCGACGTTCACATATGGATGGATTACAAGACGATACAGAAATCTGCAGATCATCGACGTACAGTGAGTAATGAACAGATGGAGCTATTGCGCGGACAATCGAGTTCATCTTCACAATAAAAAGAGTGACGCTAAGTACACCACCTTAAGGTACTCCATTTTGCTGCGAAAATTCTCTAGAAAAAGTTGTCCCAAGCTTCACGCGAAAAGTCCGGTTTTGAAGATAACTCTGAATGCCACTTAACATTCGGCCCTGTACACCTAAGCTGAACAGATCCTGCAGTATGCCATGGCGCCAGGTTGTATCAAATGCCTTTTCCAGGTCAAAAAAGACAGAGACACAATGCTGCTTATTTACAAATGCCTCTCGCACAACAGTCTCAAAACGAACTAGGTGGTCGACCGTGGATCGTCCTGAACGAAAGCCACATTGGTACCTGTCAAGAAGATTATTACTCTCCAAATAAAACATCAGCCTTCTGTTGATCATCCTTTCTAATGTCTTCGAAAGACAGCTAGTTAGTGCTATAGGCCTGAAGCTGGAGGCACAGGCAGGATCTTTTCCTGGCTTTAAAAGGGGGATAATAACGGCAGCCTTCCAGGACAATGGGAAAAGACCCTCGACCCAAACTCGGTTGAAAAGATACAAGATGAGCTCTAGAGTAGATGGATGAAGGTGCTGAAGCATTTGATAGTGGATACCGTCCGGTCCAGGGGCAGTCTGTCCGGACGAATCGAGAGCCATCTGCAGTTCGTGCAGCATGAAAAGAGAGTTATAAGGCTCTTGCAAACCACCGGTCGTAGGCACAATCTTTTTTTCTGCATGTAGCTTATGCCGCCTAAATGATTGCGTATAGTGTTCGGAACTAGAAACAAATTCGAAATGCTCACCAAGAATGTCAGCCTGTTCGTCAAGGCTTGCAGGACATATTCCATTCCGGCACAAGAGTGGGACAGAGAAAGCGCCGTAGGAACCCTGAATTTTATGCACGCGGTCCCAAACTTCCTTTATAGATGCACTGCTATTGATTGAAGAGGCATATCCTCTAAAGCTTTGCCGCTTGGCTTGTCTTCGAATAAACCTTGCCTGGGCCCTTTTTATTTTAAAACCAATCAGATTACTTGAAGTAGGGTAACGCCTAAAGATACCCCATGCACGATTCTGTTCCTTTTTTGCCTGGCGGCAGTCTTTATTCCACCACGCCTTCGGCCTTTTTGGGAGATGCGAGGACGTCATGGGAATGGCGATGATTGCGGCCTGTAATATGTGTCGAGTGATATGCAGAGTGACATCATCGATGGAAAGATCATCAAGTGATGAACAAGCTAAAACTGAAGAGCTGCTAAAAGTTGCCCAGTCAGCCCTCTCAAACTTCCAACGAGGGGTACGCGTTTGAAGACCAGCAGGAGGACTGTTAAACTCTAAAATAATTGGAAAATGGTCACTTCCATATAGGTTTGGGATGACCCTCCATGAAAACAGCGAGTATAGTGAAGGATGGCAGATAGAAAGGTCGATGGAAGTAAAAGTCCTGGTTGCTGAACTAAAGTGTGTGGCTTCTTTAGTGTTAAGTAAGCACAGTCCCGTGGAAAGAAGAAAACGTTCAACAAGTGCTCCTCTAGCATCCCGTTTACCGCTCCCCCACAATGGGTTGTGTGCATTAAAATCGCCTAAAATTAAGTATGGAGCCGGGAGCTGACTAACAAGATCCTCTAGCTCTTCGTACTGCAGCTGGTATGCCTGTGATATGTACACTGAACAAACAGTAATCACCCGGTCTAGCAGTATTCGGGCAGCCACAGCCTCGAGAGTGGTGTAGAGAGCCACTTCGGCAGATGGGGTTGTGCGCTGGGCAACTACTGCAACACCACCAGACGCCACAGAGGAGTGCAACCTATCTTGTCTAAACACTTGATAATGGCGGAGTACATTTGACCTAGTTTCTTTAAGATGCGTCTCCTGCAGACAGAAGGCAGCAGGGCGGTGTTCGTCTAATAAAAAAGTGACATCATCATAATTACAAAAAAGCCCACGACAGTTCCACTGTAAAAACAGAGACATGGTGAAGATTAAAACTGGAAATTAAAATTAAAATTATAACTGGCCTTTAGGACACCGCAAGATAACTAAGTGGACACTTGCTTATGATTCATTTCTAAAGGGACTACGATCCCTTTGGGGGCAAAATTCTAGGAAGTTTATTTTTCTTTTTCTTTTCTACGACCTGAAAAGGTACTGATGACTCAGCACCTGAAGGGACCAGGTCGTCGTCAGAGGGTGGCATGCTCTCATCCATCATTTCATCTACTGACTGCTGGCTTGCGGTCGAGTATGCCTCGTCCAGCAGGCCAGGCTTTCGAGAGCTGGTCGAGGCGGGAGTGGGCAAAGCCCTGCCTCGGCCTGAAGAGCGAGCAGACGAGGAGGGTGTCCGCTCCAGCTCCTTAGAGGAGGTGGTCTGCGACGGACCCTCTTTAAGGACTGAGGGTGGTGCGAGAGGCACCACCCCTGATGCCTTTGGAGGGGATACCTCCTTTGGTGCCATGGTGTCCATTGCCTCCTTTAAGAGAGGCGCGGCAGCACCATTCAGGCACCGTGAACCTTTTGGCTCCAACGACAAACGTGGTCGTGGAGCCGACCTTGGGGGGGCAGGGGGTGTCGGCGGGGCTGCCAGGTCTTTGGGACAGACCTGGGTTCCCACCGAGGTTTTCGGTGACACGCCCCCTGTGCGTGTCACCGTAGCAAAGGATCCTTTCTGTAGAAAAGAAAGTCGCTTCCTAGCCTCAGGAAATGAGATGTTTCCTTCTACTTTGAGGGTAATTACTTCCTTCTCTTCTTTCCATTTTTTACAAGAACGGGAGTAAGCGGCGTGTGGTTCGCCGCAGTTGACGCAGTGTGGTGGGTTTGCGCAGTTGTCTGACGGGTGATCGTTCTGACCGCACTTGGCGCACGTGGTCTTGCCCCTGCAGCTCTGGGCACTATGGCCGAACCTCTGGCAATGGAAACATCTCCTGGGGTTCGGCACATATGGCCGTACTCTACAGTTCAAGTACCCAGCCTTGATTGACTCGGGAACTTTGCTCAACTCGAAAGTCAAAATAACATGTTTTGTTTTGATCTCTTGCCCCTCTCGACGAAGGGAGATTCGCTTTGCAGCGACAACTCCTTGGTCACTGAGGCCATCTACGAGTTCATCTTCTGTACTTTCGAGGAGGTCATCTTCAGAAATCACACCTTTTACTGTGTTCAATGTACGGTGGGGAGTGACTGTCACTTTATAGTCAGAAACTGAATTTAGTGATAGGAGTGCTGTGCTCTGTTCACTGGTTTTAATTTCAACGAGCAGATCTCCGGATGTCATTTTTTTGGCAGAGAAGTTCTTTCCAACAATGGACTCAAGTGTTTTGGAAACAAGGAATGGTGACATTTTCGCCAAAGGTTTCTCACTCTCAGAGTGCATCACAAGGAATCTTGGAAATTTTTCTGCAGATCTAGTAGTATTAATCGCATGTACTTCGGTGCGGCCCCTTTTGGGGGGCCGATCAAGAAAGGTTTCTTGTTTAGTACCCATAGAGATGGGAGAGAATTTCGGTGCCCCGGGTGCACCACCCACCACGGAGCCCAACACGGGGGTAGGCAATGTGCCATAACAAATATGGCTTTGCTGACAACATTACACTACCAGTGCTGCCCAGGCACTATAACCTAGTGTGGATCCGGACAAGGGGTCTATCGCCACCCAAGGTTAGCCCTTGCCGCCAAAGAAGGTGAAAAGGAATAAAAGAAGAGCAGAGAAAAGAGAAAGATAAGAGGGGATAGTAGAAGATGTGGCGACTGACTGAATCATCCTGGTCGGGCCAAGCCAGGACACCCGTCTATAGGAAGCAGGGGCCAAAGTGGTGTGTTGCCTCGCCCGGGGGGCCCCGAAGGGTCCAAACCTACCCCGGGCTCAGCTCAACCACCAGGATGCCCTTTTCCCTGGACACGGGCTCGCCACGCACAGCCAGACGTGGGTGGGTCTTAGCCCCTTTTACTCAGAGTCTGTGGTGTCGCCAAAGTGGCTGGGGTCCGTGGTGACGCTACTCACCAAGCACCTAGCACCTAAGGTGCAGGCGCCCCCTGCGGAGCTCGGGGTCCGTGGAGACGCCACTCTCCAAACACCTGCTTTCACAGGTGCCCCCTGCGGGGCCACTCTTCTTGAATTCACCAACCAAAGCTACGCTTTTGGTCACGCACGTCGCCAATTGCCCTATTTGGTACAAATGTCCGAGACGTTCAGGCAGGACATTCGAACTCTCTCACCTTAGCTTGGAGGTCTCCGACGACGTCCTGTATCAGCCCCAGCTGGTTGGTCCCGGTGGGCGACGGCTGTACCGGAGGGCAGAAGGACTGGTACGACTTGTCTTTGGCCAGGGCCGCCTGCCTGGCGGTCAGCGGTAGGGACTTGAGGCACTGCTCTTTCGTTTCAGGACTGATCTTGCTTGTGGTCAACCCGGGGTTCACGCAACGGAGCCTACAGACACAACATGCTTATATGGTCACTGACAGTTTCTTAAACTAACGCAGGGCGCGGCGCATTCCGAGAACCTCATTATCACCCCGCAGCCAATCAGATTGTGGTATTAGCCATTAAGAACGACGAAAAACCAATCACGAAGCGAAAAACGTGAAAATAAGGTGCCATGCCCTCGGTTCCAGTAACCCTATGGTTGGTGACAAGATAAAAACCCAGTATAGGAGGTATTCACTGGACGCCATATTTGAGGGCGATGTTTAGAGCGCAGGCTCAGAACGAGCTCACATTGATAGCCTGCTAAGACCGGCAAACTTGATGGTGCTAAATGCACGCTCCAAAAGGACTGCGGAAGCTCGCCGTCAGCTCGCGCTCAGCAGCGGCGCACACGGATATGGCCGCTAGTGAATACTCCCTATAGAAGGTTCGCCTTGAGAGCGAGCGCTCTGGCTTCAATGGACATGAAGCTTTCCTACTTTGAGCAGCGCTCCTCGCGAGCCCAATCGAATATTTTCAGGACGCATTTTGATCGCGCGTTTTTACGCTTCCTCACGTTGCTGAAATGCGCTACGAATGGAAACACGAACGAAAAAGCTCAATGAAATGCATGATTGGCGTTTCGATATGGTGTTAAGGCCACGTACTGTACATTTTTTGCTCATTTTTTACACGCGTGAACAGATGCTGGCAGACGCTATACTCCGTCCATCCTTTAACTGAGACTAGAAGCTCCGCTTTCAGAGCGAGCTCGCTGGCTTCTGCAGTGCTTTGGTTGCGCGTGCCTGCGGGTTCACAGTTGTGTTAGCAAGTGCAGAAGGCTCGCGCTGAAGGCGGAGCTTCTAGTCTCAGCTTAAGGGTGAAGGGAGCATAACTTTCGGACGTGGTTCGTGCATGATCGAAAGCCACAACGCCGCCTTCGTGGTCTCGTCTTGTTGACGCCGAAGCTAACATTACATGGTCACGTGTTGTGGACGCGCTGGCGCACCTTGCATAGCCCTGTGGCCGAATGCAAGTCCTCGTCTTACATTTTTATTATTTCTTCAATTTCGTCGTCAAGCTTCAATGTGTTTGCCCTTATGACTTTTCGAGGATCCACTAACGATAAAGTCGCGCGTTCTCAACCTATCACCGACTATGACTTAATTAGACTTTTGGGGAGGTTTTACGTGCCAAATCAACGAAGCACACCTGGGACGCACCAGCGACGGAAAGAGGAATAATTACGACCACCTAAGGATAATTTGTTTTTTTTTTTACCTGCAATTAAAATCTTGGTTAGACCTCGCCTGCTTTGCAACGAGCCTCCGTCACATTGCGGGCACCTCGTTCGGGACTATAACCAAGCAGCTGAAGATCTGTAGGCTAGCGCTTTGCTTCGGAGTCATCAAGGCGGTAAACTACTTCCATAGTTACTGACGACGTAAGAAACACATTGTGTGCCAAGTCTTGGGCATCTTAACGTTTTCGGTTCGGCATTAATGCGACTGCGGTGTCGGTCAGTAAAATCCGACACCGAAGAACGAATCATGACCCTAGGAAAGTATGCCGCGAACAATCGTTCAGGCTTCGGTCATTGTAGACGACACCGCAGCAAAGAGCGGTGTAGAAAAGGTAAAGTTCGCGGCAGCGTAAGTGCATCTTTGATGACTAGATCCGCGCAGCACGCAGTAAAGTCGTAATCGAGATGAGCGTGGTATGTCGAGGTGTTTGAGGAAGTGCTCCCCGAAGACAGTTAGTGGAGGCGCAGAGCACCGAATCTCTCTATCATACTCAATAAAGGGTCACCGTGAGGCAGAAACCAACTTTTGTTTTATTGCTGAAATGAAAGGTCCACAAAATGTTGTGACGTGAGGGATTGAAGGAATTACCCCAATGTCTACACCACGATAAAAATCCAAAAAATTTTTTTTCTACCTTTCTTTTTGGCTTTTGCGAATATCCCTATTCTCGCGAATGATCCCTTGTGGACTCCCATTCGTGCCATCCTATTTCAAATCGCGGTTTCCCCTGAAGATGGGCAATTAAACACTTTTCTGTTTTTCAATGAATAAAATGTTCCCATCTAGGTGGTGACTCATATTTTGATACCTGTGCTCCTTGATGCTCTCCTTGGCCACAGCTCTCCAGTGGTCGATCAGCTCTCGCGGCGTGATCTCGAGAGTGTCGATTCCCGTCGTCATGATGAGCAACTTGTCCGACGCGTGGAACTCCGATCCTGTCGAGGAAAGACGGTTTTGTTTACAGGTGCTAAAAAATTCCTACTATGCCACCATTCGAAAATTGCAATTTTCATTGCTAGGCATGAAGTGTTGGCACAATATGGCACATGACTTATTTATTTATTTATTTATGAATGCTGCAATCGCAGAGAGGAATTTCTGCAGTAAAAGGTACAAAATACATAGGTCGTAATTTACACCTCATCGTTATAACATGCATGAAAACGAGTTAGTGATGTCTCGTTAATGGTATATGGACACTTCCGTTCACTAAGACATCGTCCCTAATGAGAGTTGTTCATAATGACGATACAAAAACGCGTCCACTTGCCCAGTCCATCTCCTACAATTTTATCTATGTAGCTGGGTATACCCATATTAATGGCATCCCATATCAACAAAACACGACTGTAATAATAATACATCAGATAGGAGGAACGATACAGTTTTAGACAAGCAATACGAATTTATCTTGTAGAAAGTCAAACAAATTTTGCAGGTAAACAGTAACAAATCTTTACAGGTAAACATTAGTAAGCAAATAAAAAAAACTGCAACAAAAAAACAATGGTGCCCAAGTTCAAAGGGAGGAGACGCAGTAGAGACCATAAATAGTTTTCGTTATATAATAAAAACAAAAAAAAAAACTCAGAGTGCGTGGTTAAATTTCTGAGAAACTCTATCCCAGGTTTCTGTATCGCGATTTCTATTGATGTGGAAAACCTGTTTTACTCGATACCTCATAGGGAACTCTTCGAAAGTGTACGAAAAGCAGTCAATACGTATGGGAAAACTAAGTTCCAAAACGAATGTGGTATCAATGGAAGGAGTTTCTTGGAGGTGTTGAGCTTCTACTTGGAATCCACCTATATTGCGTTTGAAGGTTCGCAATTTATACAGAAGGAAGGTTTATGTATCGGGACGAACGTGGCTCCAGTGCTGAGTGATTTATTTTTGGCAAAATGCGACAGAGACATTCAAGCTAAACTAAATAGTAATATCATCCGGATGTTTAGGTATGTAGACGACTACGTGCTACTGTTCCGTTAAGGTGGAGGAAGTAAAAAAGAGCAGAGTTTATTCTAAAAAAAAATGTTGGATTTTTTAAGAACTGCGCCGTTGGTCTGAGCTTCACTATAGAAGATCCTGTACAGTGCATTTTATAATTTTTGGACCTAAAACTGATATTTCTACCGTCCCATGTGTGTTGGATGTACTCCCCCAGAGCTAGAAAAGCGGTGTTACCCTACGACTCAAACCACTCTAAAATTATTAAGAGAGGTAATGCCACTGCGTGCTTGGGAGTCTCGCTGTCTAAGTAGTGCGCACACCAAAAATACCGGACGGCTTTAGTGCACAGGTGAAGAAACTAGAAGATGGAGGGTACTCACTTACCCTTATTAAACATGTGGCAGAAGGATTGTTACGAAAACTTCGGGGAGGGGAAACGGGTATTGGGAAGGTCAGGCGGAATATTAGACCGACCGTTATATCATATGTGCACAAATTTAGCCATAGTCTGAAGAAAGTAGGTGAAAAGCATGGAGTTCCCGTACTACTCTCAGCGCCTCAGAAATTGGGTGAACTGCGTGCAAGAATAGAAAGGTGAGATTCAAGGGTAGATATATGTAAGAAGAAGTACGGAACCAAATATGTGGAGTGCAAGGAAGGGGTGGTGTATAGAATACCTTTAACATGTGGGAGGGTTTACGTAGGACGGACCGGAAGGTGCATAAACGACAGACTAAGGGAACACGCACTGGCAGTAGGATCGTCGCCCTCGGGGAATCTTGCAACACACTGCCACTGAAGCGATTGTGGCCCAAAGCTTCAGGAAACTGTTATCCCGAGCAGGAATCATAACAAAATAACTAGAAAATTTCCGAGGCGTTTTTCATAAGGAAGTGCGACGGCGACACGTACGTGCATGAGCGCACCATCGATAGCATTGTACGATTCGGAGGTGGCGTATCCAAAGTCCTTTGTTAGATCAAGCTAGAAAGATTATATGAAGATTATAGGACAATGTGTTTACATGACGTGGATAGTTGTTGATAAGGCATATATGTATCTTCTTTGGTTTAAGTAAGGTTAAACCTCAGTTGCAAGTGCGCTCTAGTGTGTGTGTGTCTTCTTTTACTGTTTTCTTTTTAGAGCTTTTAATCCTAAAATGTACCACCAAATTGCCCAAGTGAATACCCTCTTACAGTATCGGATGTGCAAAAGCGGATCCCTGAAACTCCCTAATTAAAAGGAAAAAGAAAAAGAGGAATAGCGCGTGTGTTGCCCTCTTACCTGGGTTCTGCGCGACATTCACGCTCACGGTGCTGTTGAGGGGTATGATGCCGAAGAAGGGCTTCACCTTGTAACCGTCGATGTTGTTCGTCTTGATCTGAAGCAAACAAACACAAAAAAAGAAGTCCCAATTGAACGGGCATCGCAGAACGCTAATTGTGGCCGTACCGTTTAGTACTCCGATTTGACGGCAATTGGTTTCTGCGTGAATTCTTTTGTAATATATTGTCATCGCGGAGAGAATAAAAGCGGAACACGCTCACGCTAGTGCTACTGAAGGATTTTAGAATATGCGCACCCGGAATTATGAAGAGAACATCTGAAAATTCGTCGGAGATTTATTTATTTACTGACATAAGCCTGGCAGGCTTATGTCAGTGCTGACTCCTGCAACCCTGCCGAACACCAGCGCCTTGCACGGTGAAATTGTGAAGCTGCGCGTTTGAATAATAAACTCCAAAATTCGCTGAACGTGTATTTTTAGTTCCTTTGTTGTTTAAAATAGTTTTTGCTACTTTGTAAGTAAGAGATTTAACGCACACTTAATGATTGTTTAATGTGATCGATAACAGACATTTTTTAACGTCAGCGTGCGCGAAATTGTTTTATATTTTTTTTTCTAATCCGACGGTCACCCCAATTTTAAAACTCCTTGTTCAGAGTTGGGTCGAAACTCGGACGAAGAGGCCGCCATCTTCGAGGCTTTGAGCCCAGCATTCTCGACAACGTGCCGATAGACTGTGCCGAAAATGGATAAGGTCTATGGGTCTGTAGGTCCCGTGACGTGAGGTCATGTGACATGAAATTTCCCGCTAAATTTAGCGGTGAAACTGAATTCGCGTAGGTCACGTGACATCAATTTCCCCGCTAAATTTAACGGAAAATGCACAGACGAACGGACGGACGGAAGGACCAAATTTTGGGATTAGAGAGTAGCGTTAAAAAGTATTTCACGCCGTAAAAATATATCCAGGTCCAACAAGGGTATTGTGCCTGGACCGCGTTTCCGACTGAGTGCTTACCGCGTCCTCAAAAATGGTCCTTACCTTGTCCAAAAATGGCCTTTTACAGGTAACGCTGTCCAGCTTGACAGACCACGGAAGCTTCGGCAGCTAGGAGTTGGGACGCCGCGACGACAGCGACACTCGCGGTCGCTCTCACTTTTTGACCAAACTTTCACGACCAACCGCCAGGATCGCGACACCCGACAACGTCGGCCTCTGTGACGTCATTTGCAATTCGCTTTGCGACCGATCTTCATGCACGGGGCGGCGTACAGAACGCTAGGACGTCAAAAGTGTTTTCGTGGATCGTTTTCGGCGTCCCGCAACGCCCTCCGCAACCCGCTACAATACCTGGAACTCTACAGCCAAGGCCATCGGCGCGCAGACGCAGTAGCGACTTCTTCGTTGCGGAGGGCTTAGCGGAGGAAGAAACGCGGTCTACGAAAACTCCCTAAAGACACGCTCCCGGCAGCGGACCATTAACAAAGGGGCGTGCAGCGGCCAGTCAGGGGGACGTACCTTGAACGCCACGTGGGTGTCCGAAGTGTTGGTGAGCACCACGCTTCCGATATGTTTGTTGGTGTCGGGCTCGTCGGCGTTGAACACCAGGTCCGTCTCGGGTCTTCGTGATCATGGACGGATACAAACAGGGTTAGAACGTGATCCAGTCGACGTGTTGCGTTTCTAGCAAAAAAGAAAAAATACTGTGCGAACCTATAAAGCTAGAATGAACACTAAGAAAAACCGGACTAAAAAAGCATCTTACTTTGAACTTTTTTTTTCTTTTTTTTTTTTTGCATGACTTCAATTGTAATTAACATTAACGTTTTGTTCCTTTTTTTTTTATTCCGACGGCTTCCCATCTTGGCTATGTTCACGCACGACGCTATCATTCCTGAAGGACCAGAGGTTGTCTCCTTTACTTCTTCGTAGAAAAAGTAAAGGCGTCAGCGAAGTAGAAGAACTTCGCTCACGTAGCGCTCGTTTTCGATTCGAGCTGAGACGATTTCACACGGAACTCGGACGCAGCCGTCGGGTTCAAAACGGTTTCTAATTAAAGTGTCCATTGAGACGAAATGTCCAATAGGGTCAAAATAACCACCGAGTCAAAATATACCCTTCGGGTCAAAATGTCCACCGAATCAAAGTGTCAATCGATTCCTTATTTTTTCTTTATTTGCCAATTGTGAAAACCCGGAAAAAAGTATATTACTAAGCAAAGTTCAACTCGGAACCCAGAAAACAAAAGTGACTGAGAACTTCGAAACCATAAAGTGTGCGAAGAAATAAAGAGGTATTTTAAACGTTACCTTTATACATATACGCTCCAGGCCATCCTTTTCTCGGTGTTGGACCAGTTGACTTAATGACGAAGTGTCATGCGACGAATTTCTTTATGTGACCAATAGCCCTGCTACGAGTTGACTTTTACAAATTGTTTTAGCCCTCCTCCGCTCCGCCAGGTATCCAGAAGTGTGAGTTCAGTTTATCTTCAGTTTAAGGTTTATTCTATACTCTGTTGCTTTGGGGACCTTGTGGTGCGGTGGAGTGTAACATTGCTTGGGGCAACAATGTGCAATTTGTTCTGGAGCTCTACTTGAAAGCTTCTGCTACACACGTCATCACGTGCAGCTCGGTCACTTTCAACCGAGGCTAGGGCATTAATGTTCCGAATTTCAAAATGGGAACACGGGCCAGAAAATTGTTGCCCGTCGTTTGGAGCGAATAAAGTATTCTCGAAATCGTTCATTTTTAATCCTTGTCATCACTTATTCTTGATATTATCTCATCTAAATGACAACACTTTTACAGCAATTGTGTCACATTTTAATTATATCGAACCATAGGTCCTACCAATAGGCAGACCGTTGCGAACGGATACAAACCTGTTTCCTGAGCGTTAACATAATTAAAATTTGCCAGAAGGTATGTCCAGCAGTTCGACAACGGAGCCGAGGTTTTCAGACGAAAACGCTATATTGTCACGAACGACAATTGTTGAGGCGACGAAAACTGAAACAAACTAAACGTTTATTGGGGCGAACTTGTGCCCAAATAAGAAAGGAAACAGACGACAACAATAGAGCGTCGCGGGCGTCGATAGCGGCGTAACAGCAGAGTCGAACGCTGGGGCGAGACTGACTCCGCTCGCCATGCGGAGTCTCTTATGCCCCCTGGTGGGTTTCTGGATCATTCGGCGTAGAACTTTCGATGCGCAGAACATTCGGAACTCGATTAGACGAGAATGTTGCCGAACTTACGAGAACGGCAAGTTTAAAGAATAAATAAAAGGGCAGTCCACTAACTCGAATCGAAGCAAGGCCTCCCGCGCGACAATCAAGCGCGGTAACCACTCGGACACGCACGCGCTCGATCGCCGACGCACGTTGCATTATGTATCTGAATGTTGAACTATCGGCCAACAGAGACAGTGGATACTGTGAATTAGAGTTTATTTTTTTTCGCGTGTTCGATATTTGGTGTCTTCGTCCAACGAATTTTCGAGATTTAGAGTGGTATACCGCGTAATAATTAGCGTGGGGTGAACGATTCGCGGGACCAGTTGTTTGTGATTGTTTGCAAAGTGCTAAACTTTGTGAAACTGAAGCCATCGAACGCGCCTTATTTCGTCATTGACAATTTAGAGCGCTTCTCTTAGGCACCCGTTTCCGGATTTCGCGGCGTCGCCGCCAGCGTCGGCGTAACCGCGTTAAATTTAGGGGGAAAATTAACGCCACGTGACCTCAACATCAATTTAATTCCCCGTTAAATTTAGCTGGGAAAAGGACGTCACATGACTATGTGTCACGTCACCCATGAACAAATTCAGTTTTTCTGCTAGATGTAGCGGGATTTTCAATTTAAAATTTAAAATTTTATTTTCAAAATGAAACTTTTAGTTTCAAATTGAAAATTTCAGTTTTAATTAAATTTTTTAGAGCGCAGCACTTAGGCGCCCATTTCCCGGTTGAGGGACGTCGGCGTAACCGCGATACATTTAGCGGTAAAATTGACGTCACCTCATCTACGGACAAATTCAGTTTCTTCACTAGATTTAGCGGGAAAATTGGCGTTACGTGACCTCAACAGCAACTCAGTTCCCCGCTAAATTAAGCGGGAAAATTGACGTCACGTGACCTCAACACCAATTCAGTTTCCCCGCTAAATTTAACGGGGATCGTGACGTCACATGTCCTGGTGTCACGTTACCTATGGACAAATTCAGCTTCACCGCTAGATTTAGCAGAAAAAGTGACGTCACGTGACCTCAACACCAATTCAGTTTCCCCGCTAAATTTAACGGGGATCGTGACGTCACATGTCCTGGTGTCACGTTACCTATGGACAAATTCAGCTTCTCCGCTAGATTTAGCAGAAAAAGTGACGTCACGTGACCTCAACACCAATTCAGTTTCCCCGCTAAATTTAACGGGGATCGTGACGTCACATGTCCTGGTGTCACGTTACCTATCGACAAATTCAGCTTCTCTGCTAGATTTAGCAGAAAAAGTGACGTCACGTGACCTCAACACCAATTCAGTTTCCCCGCTAAATTTAACGGGGATCGTGACGTCACATGTCCTGGTATCACATTACCTATGGACAAATTCAGCTTCTCCGCTAGATTTAGCAGAAAAAGTGACGTCCCGTGACCTCAACACCAATTCAGTTTCCCCGCTAAATTTAACGGGGATCGTGACGTCACATGTCCTGGTGTCACGTTACCTATGGACAAATTCAGCTTCTCCGCTAGATTTAGCAGAAAAAGTGACGTCACGTGACCTCAACACCAATTCAGTTTCCCCGCTAAATTTAACGGGGATCGTGACGTCACATGTCCTGATGTCACGTTACCTATCGACAAATTCAGCTTCTCTGCTAGATTTAGCAGAAAAAGTGACGTCACGTGACCTCAACACCAATTCAGTTTCCCCGCTAAATTTAACGGGGATCGTGACGTCACATGTCCTGGTATCACATTACCTATGGACAAATTCAGCTTCTCCGCTAGATTTAGCAGAAAAAGTGACGTCCCGTGACCTCAACACCAATTCAGTTTCCCCGCTAAATTTAACGGGGATCGTGACGTCACATGTCCTGATGTCACGTTACCTATCGACAAATTCAGCTTCTCTGCTAGATTTAGCAGAAAAAGTGACGTCACGTGACCTCAACACCAATTCAGTTTCCCCGCTAAATTTAACGGGGATCGTGACGTCACATGTCCTGGTATCACATTACCTATGGACAAATTCAGCTTCTCCGCTAGATTTAGCAGAAAAAGTGACGTCACGTGACCTCAACACCAATTCAGTTTCCCCGCTAAATTTAACGGGGATCGTGACGTCACATGTCCTGATGTCACGTTACCTATCGACAAATTCAGCTTCTCTGCTAGATTTAGCAGAAAAAGTGACGTCACGTGACCTCAACACCAATTCAGTTTCCCCGCTAAATTTAACGGGGATCGTGACGTCACATGTCCTGGTATCACATTACCTATGGACAAATTCAGCTTCTCCGCTAGATTTAGCAGAAAAAGTGACGTCCCGTGACCTCAACACCAATTCAGTTTCCCCGCTAAATTTAACGGGGATCGTGACGTCACATGTCCTGGTGTCACGTTACCTATGAACAAATTCAGCTTCTCCGCTAGATTTAGCAGAAAAAGTGACGTCACGTGACCTCAACACCAATTCAGTTTCCCCGCTAAATTTAACGGGGATCGTGACGTCACATGTCCTGGTGTCACGTTACCTATGGACAAAATCAGCTTCTTCGCTAGATTTAGCAGAAAAAGTGACGTCACGTGACCTCAACACCAATTCAGTTTCCCCGCTAAATTAAGAGGGAAAATTGACGTCACGGGACCTCAACACAAATTCAGCTTCCCCGCCAAATTTAGTGAGAAAAATGACATCACATGACTTGGTGTCACGTAACATATGAACCAATTCAGTTTCTCCGCTGGATTTAGCGGGAAAATTGACGTCACGTGCGGAGGAGGAGGTGGGGAAAGTACGGAGGTGGAGGAGGAAAGGAGGAGGAGAAAAGAAGGTGAGTTAAGTATGAGGGGAGGAGGACAGGGTACGAAAGAGGGGCATACCCTCCCCTCCATACCCTCCCCTCCTCCCCCTCAAGAGCTGCGCTCAAATTTCGCGTTTCAGAGATTTGTAAACGTCTTTAATATTTTTGCTTGAAACTCGCTCGCACCTTTTAACATTTCTACCACTTTTCTTTGAGCATTCGGCATCTCATTCCAGCCACTGGGCACGTTCTGTCGGAAGTTGAGCGGGCCACAATGTTTGTTTTATTTTTGAAATAGAGAAAGCTGTTCTTTCCCAAACGTCTGGCAAAGGAAAATATGGTTTGTCGAAAAATTAGGAAAACAATTCGCTCAGATTTGCGCAAGATGTCAGATTATGACCGTTTGTGCAAGAACGCGTGTGTAAATACTGTACTACACATGTATACAAGTGGATATCAGCACCATTAGTAAAAGATGCCTCACCGAGATAAACTGTCTAACCGGTCAAAATGTCCATCCAGGTCAAAATGTCCATCGATACGAAATGTTTATCGAGTCAAAATGTCCATCCAGGTCAAAACGTCCAATATTGG